GGGGGGAAAGAACCTCAGGCCCAGAGTACAACCCCAGAGATGGCCTGGAGGGAGGAGAGAGCACCGCACACAGGGAAATCATAACATGTAAGGGTCACTGGGGTGTGGACTACGAGGGGAACGTGGTGAGCAATGGGGCCAGAGCCAAGGGCACCAACCAGGGAGGGGTGGGCCTGACTCAGGCCAGTCGGGGCAACAGAGAGCCTGAAGCCAGAGCGATGAGGAGCAATCTAAACTGTAGACTAGGGCTGTCCAGGAACTGAGAAAAAAGAACCTGGATTGCAGGTAGGGGTTGAGGGGAGTTGGGTTGGCTGCGAGGAATAAAAGGGGTTTAGGGCTGCGGGTGGCAGAGTAGCAGGAAAGAGTACAGATTTGGTGACACGAAGAGGCCAAGTCAGGCGGGGCAGGGAGAGTAAAGACTGCACAGGAGTTTGCTCCTTGGGGACTGGGTGGGTAGAACCCACAGGCAAAGAACGCCCCACCCAGGGTCTGAGGGCAGTGCCCGGCACCTTCGTGAAACTTCCAGTGCTTCACTGCCACCTGCTGGACAAGTGTGATACTACAAGGCCAAGGCCAAGACGACACATGGCGCCCCCTGGAGTCCTGCAGGACAGCCTGAACCTCTGACACAGGCAGCCCTGTCCCCCCAAGTCCTCTCCTCCTACGTGAAAATAACAACCAGCATTTTCGCAGCATTTACAAAGTGCCAGTCACTATATTAAGCCCTTTATATGGATTATCTCACCTCATCCTCACCCCCTTCGTTACAGATGGGAAAATGAAGGCAGAGACCATAGGTGACATAACCAGTATAACTCATCCTGCAGTCTGGCCTAGACCAGATCCAAACCCAGGCATGTGACTCCAGAGCCAGTGTTCTTAGACAGCTCTGTTCTGTCTTGTAGTGACCTGGCCCCTCACCTTTCGCACTAGGTGTTCAGGTCCTAGAGTGGTCCTTCATATGCAAACAGCACTTCTTACAAATGAAAGTGCCTTCCTGAATCAGGATCACCAGGGCTAGACCAGATCCGGGGCCTGGGAATCTGTATGTTTGATACGGAGTCCCCAGTGTTTCCTCCCAGCTGCTCCCAGGGCCTCCGGAACGGAAATAAAGTTCTGTTTCACAGAGGAGGAAA